GGGGGGGGGGGGTGGTCAAGGCCATATGTGGGTGCATGGCAAGGTCAGTCTATGAAGTGATAACTTGTTTTGCAGAAGCTCTGCCGACGCTTCAAGCTGTGTGGCCCGGGGCATGTAACCATCTCTCCCTTCAAGTTCATTTGCTCCCCAGTCCCTTGGTGGCAAACCAACTCTCTTGTAGGGATAGAAAGAGAGTTGTTCTCTCTCTGTTAGCAGCCCCTTCTTGGCTTCCTAAGGGGACCCCACAATCCTGGGGACGGGAAGAGACTGGTGGGGAAAATACAGGGTCAGAGGAGAGGGATGCTGCCCACTTACCCCCATGATTTTCGTGTTGCATTTGGCACAGACTGGGGCAAAGAACTGCTCATAACAGCGCTCGCAGTAAACGTTGCTCTGCTCCTCCACGAAGCACACGTCCGCCAGGGAGGTCTTGCAGTAGGCACAGTTAAACTCCTCCGGGTGCCAGGAACGGCCCATGGCTACCAGAAAGGGGCCCCTGGAGAAGCAGAGAACAGCACCAAGCTTGAGACCAGATATTTCAGGACCCCCCCAACAGTATTCATGCTGTGACCCCATAACCCTGACTTTTGTGACTGTTCTAACGAACTAATGTGAAATTCAGAGAAAGCTCTATGCAAAAAGATATTCGTTGTTGCATCAATTACAATAAAGAGAAAGGGGAAAGCGGCTCAAATATCTGCAAGTAGGGGACCAGGGAAGCATACTGTAGAATATCCATTCAGTTGACGCCTGATAATTATAATACGAAGAGCAAAGATGACCATGTCAATGGTGGAAGTTTATTGAGCGCTGACTCTGTGGCACTACCTAAGAGGAAATGTGCATTTATTGACTTATTTAGTTCTTACAACAATCCTAAGAAGTAGAATTAGAGTACCCATTTTCAGATAAGGAAACTGAGGCACAGAGAGGTGAAGTAAGTTGTTCAAGGCCAGTACAGTAGACCCAGTATATGAGCCTGCGTTGCCTAGTTCCAGATTAGCAGTCGGAGCAGTGGGACTACAAGGAAATGCTTTAAATTTAAATTTTTACTTTTTTGAATTAAAAAAAAAATCTTTTTATGTTTATTTATTTTTGACAGAGAGAGAGAGAGAGAGAGAGAGAGAGAGACAGAGCATGAGCGGGGGAGGGGCAGAGAGAGAGGAGACAGAATCTGAAACAGGCTCCAGGCTCTGAGCTGTCAGCACAGAGCCCGATGCGGGGCTCGAACTCACAGACCACGAGATCATGACCTGAGCTGAAGTCAGACGCTCAACCAACTGAGCCACCCAGGTGCCCCCTGAATTTTTTTTTTAATCTTTCAGTTTATTTATTTATTTTGAAAGAGAGACAGCACAAGTTGGGGAGGGGCAGAGAGAGAGAGGGAGAGAGAGAGAATCCCAAGCAGGCCCCGCGGGGTCAGCACAAAGCCTGATGCGAGGCTTGAACTCAAGAATCATGAGATTGTGACCTGGGCCGAAGTTGGATACTTAAGCGACAGAGCCACCCACATGGCCCACTTCTCTGAATTTTCTAATTCTTCTCTAGTGAGCAAGTGTACTTTGTTTCTTTCTTTTTCCTTTTTCTGTGTTACTTTATTTTTAAATAAAAATGTATTTATCACATATATAAGCTTACCTCCCAAACACACACATACTATAAACATACTATGTTCCAACAAGTATCACCTATGGTCCATGAAATGACTTGTTTTCCTTTTAGTGTAGTAGATGCCCACCAAAGCCCTGAGCAGCACAGGCCTGTCTGTGGAAAGACCCAGAAGCAACCCTGAAGGAAAGCTGGGTCAAAACTAGCACTGTCAGCCAGCTTGCAACATGCCCTATAAACCTACTGACAAGACCAACAATTCCCAGAACCCGGCCTTAGCCCAAGGGGGAGGTCCTGGCACCAGGCACTGCGCTGGGAGCTTCACTCACTTACCTCATGGAATTCTCCTGACTCCCCAGGGATGTGGGTGTCACACAGGTATGGAAGCTAAAGCTCAAAGGGGATCAGACTAGGTGGCAAGCCAGAGGTACCCGAGGCTGCCCCGCAGCCTTCTTCCTATACCTGCCCTCCCTCCCCCTGTCACCCCCCCCCCAAGGCTCAGAGAGTGGGCGAGCCTCCCCACTGCCCTTCTAGCACCCCAGCTCACGGCCAAGGCTGGACCATACCTGATGACGTTGTTGCAGTGGCCACAGAGCGGAGTCCGGCTGCTGGCTGGGAAGCGTTCAGCCCGCTGAACGATGCCCCTGGCCAGGGGGGACACCTGGGGCCCTGCTGGGGTGTAGGCAGGGGCCCCTCGGGGCAGGGTCTGCTTGCTGATGGAGGTGGTGCTCCTGCCAGGGGCAAACTTCTGAGAGAAGCTGTCGTCTGTCACCCACGGTGGGCGGCTGCCAGACTCCACAGGGCCCCCGCTGTAGGTCACTGAGGATGCAGGGTTATAGCTTGGGGCTGGCGAGGGGGTATAGGTTGGTGCCGGGGAAGGGGAGTAGGTGGGGGCGGGCGAGGGGGTGTAGGCAGGGGTAGGTGAGGGGGTGTAGGGAGCTGGACTGTAATTGGCCCCTGGGGATGGGCTGTAGGTAGATGCGGGCGCTGCAAGGCAAAAATAGCCAAAGAAAATGTATCAGGAATTCATTTCCCCCAACTTCCCCCGCCCCCACCGTCAGAAAACTGTAGAAGGTGGCTTAATATCAGAGCAGTACAATTCCAATTCCTATGGAAGACACGTTCCTGAACTTCTTGATGCCCCAGATTTGATTTTGCAGCAGGGAGCCAAGGGAGATAGAGAACAGCCAGAGCAGAGCCCTCGGGAGCTGGGACAGGGCTGGGAAAGGGACATAGCTATAAATATCTGCAGCTGTGTGGGGTGGGGCTCGGCCAGGCCTTGGCTGCCAGAAGCCTGCAGAAGACAGGGAAAGGGGGGCGGGGGTGCCAGGCAAGCCTCATATTTGGGTCCTCTGGGCCAGGAAGAGGGTGGGAGCGGGTCGGCTTGGCCTTGCCTGGAAGATGCTTTTGGTTGCACTCTGACCAGCGATTTGACATCTGACATGCCTCAAATGTGTTTGCTGAACCTGGACCTAGTCCAGCCTTGGGGACAGAGCTGATGACAGGGCAGTTGGGTTTTCAGGTTCAGGTTTCATGTTCAGCTGCAATTGTTTTCTTGAAAAAGAGTTTGGCTTGATTTGTACTGGGGGGACATTTCACCTTGGTTTGATTGGGGTGGGGGTTGGGGGTCTTAAGAGAACCGCACAGAGGAAGCCTGGGCAGAGATGTCGGGGGGACAGCTCACCCCAGTCTGTGGCTGCCTCTGGGACACCCATGCTCTCCCACATCACTTTAGTGGAAACCGAGAATGTCTGAGTGGCTGTGCAGAAATTACCATGGAAGTCAGAGTGCAGATCAAGAATGTATTGCCTCAGTTCTGGAACCCCCTCTTCCTGCTCCCTGAGAGCTGAACACGCTTTTGGGGTGACAACGCCAAAGAGCACTGCAGCTGCTCACCAGAGGCCCTCTGAGGCCTGGGCCCTCAAAACCCAGATCTCTCAGGTTTGCTGCCTCTGCTGTGGAGCCTGCACACATATTCCAGCCAGCTTCCTCTTCCAGCCAGGGAGGTTCCAGAAGCCTCACCTCAGCTCACAGTCTGAGCCTCTGGAAAAAGGCCTCATTCCTCCTATCCTGGGAAACATGTTGGGGCAGCCTCCCTCCATTCCTGAGCCTGCCTAGGTGGATGGACTATAGTGAGGGGTGCTGAGGCAGCCCCCATCAGTCGCTAGCCTGGAAAGGAAGGTCTTGCTCAGGGCTAAAGTTCCCCACCTGGCCTCTGATCTCTCCCACCTAGTTCTCCTGGACCACCCTGGGGGCCTGCTGCTCCAACTCTACCTTCTGCTCCCAGATGACTGGCCCTTCAGAGCAGGGTAACATGGGAACCCCTGTGCTGTGGGTGGGTAGGGATCAGGCCTACGTTATTGAAAGGTAAAGGGGTAAAATCATCCACAGCCCTGCCCTGGAACCATCCTGGGAGTGATGCTGGCTTCTAAAGGTAAAACTCTTTCCATGAGGAATCAATCTTCTTCCCACTTATTAAGGGAATAGGCTTGGCACATAGCAAGTCACCTGGGTTAGTTCCCTTGACAGTTGAGGTCACTGAGGCTCAGACAGAGCCAGTAAGTGGCAGAGTGAGTCTCCAAAACCATTCTATTACCCCAAGCTGCCTCTGTAAAGAATAGGAGTCTGATTTCCAGAAAATCTCGGTGTACCGTGTCATTGAGGAGGAACTATCCACCTGGAGGAGGTCCCATGCTCTGACATGTAGCACAACCATCAAGAGCCCTAGGTTCAGGTCCCAGCACTACTGCATCCTGGCTGTGTGTCCTTGGGCAAGTTCCTTAACGTCTCTGGGCCTGAATTTTCTTTTTTTTTTTTTAATTTTTTTTAATGTTTATTTTTATTTTTGACAGAGAGAGAGACAGAGCATGAGCAGGGGAGGGGCAGAGAGAGAGGGAGACACAGAATCCAAAGCAGACTCCAGGCTCCGAGCCGTCAGCACAGAGTCCGAGGCGGGGCTTGAACTCACAGACTGCGAGATCATGACCTGAGCTGAAGTTCGACGCCACCCAGGCGCCCCCTGAATTTTCTTTTTTTAAAATGGCATTAATAATTCTTAGTACCTTACAGGAGGATTAAAGAAGACAAGAAATATAAAGTGCTTAGCCTAGTGCCGGGCACAGTGTATGCATCATTTCACATTAGTGAGGATGGTGAGGATGATGCTTCCTGGGTCTCAGGGTCTGGATGAACTGCCTGATGGTCACCTAGGGGAACCTGTCCAGGGAGACCACAGGATGCTGGGGGTGGGGGTGGGAGATGTGACACCCCGTAATCAGATAACCTGGGACTGAGTCTACTCACCTGTGGTGGAATGTATGATGTTCCTACCTGCCTCAAAGGGAGTGGTGAGGACCTACTGGAACAACAGTTGTGAAGCCCAAATTTGAAATGCTGTCATCCTCTCTAACAACCTTGCATAACAGCCAAGTGCTCAGAGCAAGAGGGTCTCAAAGTGCTGGGGGCAGGGGTGATGAGGGGAACACCACCAGGGAGGGGGTGTGGGGAGAGGTGATCTAGAAGAACTTCAGAGCAGAGTCATTCCTCTCTAGTATATATAATGGGGTTCTGTGCAAGATTTTGTCCCCACTCCTCTCTCTCTCTCTTTTTTGTAAAGTGTGGGATCTCTGCTAAAAGGATTAAAAACAAAGCCCTAATCCTGTGCCACTGCACAGCCCTATGTGGCTACTAATCACTTGAAATGAGGCTAGTCCAAATTGAGAAGTGCCAAGAACATAAAATACACACCAGATTTCAGGGCTTAGTACAAGCGAAGGATATAAAGTATCTCAATAATTTTATATTGAGTATATATTGAAATGATGCTTTGAATATACTGAGTTACATAAAATATGTTAAAACTGATTTCACCTGCTTCCTTTTCCTTTATTAAAAATGTGGCTAACAAGAAGATTTCTTTTCATTGGGCAGTGCCGCCCTCAACAGAACAGCAGCTACCAAGTACTGACTGCTTCCACATGCCAGGCCCTTTACCTGCACTACTGCATGTAATACTGCAATCCAAGGAGACAGATATTTTCTAGTCCATTTTACAGATGGGGAATGAAGCTTGGTGAGCCTAAGTGATTACGGCAAAGTTAGGGAGCTAGTGAACTACCTATCTCAAACTGGATCTTGGGCAGTTGGACCCAACTCCAGATTCCCTGCTTAACCACCCCCTGGGCAGCAAAACAGGCTTTAGCACGCCCCTTCCAAATCGGGCCCTTGCCCACTTTTCCTGCTTCCCTCCGCCTGCCAGACGTTCTCTC